TGCATCTTTAAAAATGATAAGAAGTAGTATTTCTCCCCCGCCCACATGGAGCCTGTGGCATACACCTTGTAACCCCAGCAACTCAGGAGGCTGAGATCCACAGGATTGCAGCTCAAAGCCAAACTGGAAAAGCCTTTGAGGTTTTATCTCCAATTATCCAGCAAAATTCCAGGCTGGAGATGTGGTTCAAGTGGCACAGTGCTAGCTGAATGAGCAATCAAGCAAATCTAGTGGGAAGAGATGAGTTCAAACCCTGGTGCTGGAGGCTGGAGGTGGGGGCGGCAGAACTCGACTTGCCACGAAGACTTGATAACTGCAGCCCAAACCTCTTTTCCTGGGGGAAACCGGAACATCGTGGTTAACAGCAAGCACCACAGAGTCAGAATGTGCACCACTGCGGCCCATCTAGATAACCGTGGACTTCTGTCATGCGTTTCAGGAGCCATGACTGTCTATGTAAAAACTGGACCCAAGACACATACCCTCCCCTTCAACACACACAGCCTACGTCTGCTGTGAGTGACAGGTAAAATGCTCCGTGTAACACAAGGAAGGCCTCTCTGTGTCTCCAGTTAATTTTGACAGCCGCAATGAGGATGGAGCAATCAACACAGCATCCTCAGCGCTTTCGTGGGTGACTGCCACTGGGTGGCAGGGTATAAACAAGGCTTTGCAAACAACAGTCCGTTTCGCTCTCTCAGCTCCCACCCCGGCCCCGCAGGCGGAGGAATGAGGGCGCGGTGGAAGCGGGGGTCACACGGGACTGGGAGGCAGGGTCACGGTAGCGACCCGGAAAGCTTGGCTCCAGATCCCAGGGCACAGCCACAGTGACTTCTTCCTCTAGAACCCGCGAGTTCTAGGGGAAGGCACGAGGCGCACGCAACTCCATCCCAGGCCAACTCCATCCCGAGAGCCGCTCACCTAACGCAGACGACGGGTCTTCCGTCCCGCACCGGAAGCCCCGGCCAGCCCGCCGATCCCCTTCCGGCCGGCCGCCGCTGCGCGTCTATGCCCGCGACTTTCGTTCCGCCACGACTTCCGTCCGAGACGTCCCAGCGGAAGTGCTCTCGGTGTACACTCCGGCTGGACCCAGACTCCTGGAGGTTTTGGAAAGCTCGATGCTTATGGTGAACTTTGCGCGGGGGGGGGGGGCTAAAGAATAAGGGGCCTTTCAGGTCTCAGGGAACGGCCAGGCGTCGCAGTCTAGGGTCCTATCAGTCCCGGGCCTCAATCGGAGGCTCCACGCGACCTTCACGAACCTTTTACGAGTCATTTGTTCCAGCCCACATCTCTCAGGCCCGTTCTGCTGGTCCTGGGGCAGTGGGCCTGAACGGGATGCGTAGGAGCCTACGTTGGCAACCGCTCAAGGTCGCGTGGAGCAGTGCTGAGCCTCTCCAGGAGAAGGGAGACTTCGCCGTGCCTGCCTAGCCAGTCTCTTTTCTGTGTGTGCCGGTCCTAGAGCTTGAACTCGGGGCCTCAGCGCTATCCCTGAGCTTGTGTGCTCAAGGCTGGTGCTCTACCACTTGAGCCACTGCTCCATTTCCAGCTTTTTGGTGGTTAGTTGGAGATAAGAGTCTCACGGACTTACCTGCCCACGCTGCCTTAAATCTTTGATTTTCAACCGAGAACCGGTGACTCCCGCCTGTAATCCTAGCTACTCAGGAGGCTGAGATCTGAGGATCGCAGTTCAAAGCCAGCTCAGGCAGGAAAGTCCGTGAGCCTCATCTCCAAGGAACCACCAGAAAACTGGAAGTGGCGCTGCGGCTCAAGTTGGTAGAGCGCTAGCCTTGAGCTGAAGAGCTCAGAACAATGCCCAGACCCAGAGTTCAAGCCCCACGACCGACCAAAAAACAAAAACAAAAAACCTTTCGATTTTCAGATCTTAGCTTCCTGAGTAGCTACGATTACAAGTGTGAGCCACCAGCTCACAGCATCTGTCTGTCTCTCCTCTTTCCTCCACTGTCCCCTCTCTGCTGTTGTTAGTATGTGCCTATGTTCCAGCCGAGACAAGAGGATTGCTTAAGCTCAGGAGTTGAGGGGGTTAATAAGATGTCTCTAGGTGGTGTCTGTTAGGAGCTCTGGTTATCTTTTCCTTATATAAATCTTGACTATTCTACTTCTTGTTTATCCGTGGATTCATTCTTCTAGTGAAACAATCATTTCCAAGTGTCATAATTTGTGGCCTCAGTGCCACCATTCCCAGTAGTTGATGGCATTTTTGTTACAAAACCTGAACAGAAATATAGATCCATATATAATCTCCTATTGGTTCTGTTGCTCAAGAGAACCCTGACACACATACCTCTCCCAAGGGAGAGTCCCGAGGACTATGATTCAAACATAGCATGAGACTGTCTCCAAAGTAACTAGGGGAAAACAGGCTGGAGGCATGGCTCAAGTGGTAAGAGAACCAAACTGAGTGAGCTTGAGATCAAACTCCAGTACCACTCCCACCTCCCCCTGCCCCCCCCAAAAAAAACCTTCTATGGTTATTAACTCAAACTCATTTTCAGGTAGCTGCATGCTGGAACTCACAAAACCTGTATGTGACAGAACATGAATCAGATCCACCCACAGGTCAGCTTAACCTCAAATTCCTAGTCTTATCACTGAGCTACTCATTCAAGCTAGACTGTGTTCCTGCTGAGGCTCTGCTATTAACAACTGCTATTAACTGGGTAACTATGGCCTACTAGTCACTTCTGAGTCCTGGCATCTTTGCTACAAGGTGGCTGCCATGTCACGAACACACTGTCTCAGGGGTGGTAGCAGTTAGACAAACCTAGAGAGCACTGGGGTTGTGGTAGCTATCCAGAAAGTTAATAGAGGATTTCTGGACCAGTATGGCATCTCAAGCAATGAACATGATGTAAACAAACCCCTCAGATTCCAAGAATTTGGGAACCTGGTGTTCCATTTGACCTTGAGACCCTCCACCCAGATGCTTTTCTGGGGTGCACTGCCCTTTCCACCTGTCTCACTTCTATTGGTTGAAAGAATTTTTCACTCCTCTTTTCTTCCCACTGAGTGGGGCCTATTTCTTTCCCAAAATGTCTGGCTGAAGATGTGTGACTTACTTTTATTTACTTGGAGTGGCCTGCTGAGGGAAAATCATGTCCTGGGATCCAGTGTCCCTTCATCCTAGGCTTCAGGAAGAATGCGGAACAGATCTAAGCCCAACCCACACTCTGGAGCAAAACTGCCCAAACCAGACCACACTGGTCAACCTGCAGTCAATGTGCAGCCAGCCTCAAATCATGAAAATAAATGCCAGTTGTTGGAGTCCATGAGATAGGGCTGGATTTTTCCATGGCATTAGAACAAGAATAGCTGATAAGCATGTGATTCAGACAGACCTCTGCTTTCATTTCCTGAGAGAAATGTCCCCTTGCTCCCCAACCAGCTTAGGTCCCACTGCCTTCTTGGCTACCTCCTTGTGCCTGCCCAATCAGAATCACACATTTGACTGTGGGAGCTTCTGAGGAGTCTTTTGAGGCTCAGGACCCATTAGTCTTCCTCTCAGTTATATCACCTTCTGTCCCCAAGGACCAACCCAGAGCAAGTAAACAGTGGACTAACAGAGGATAGGCTAGATGATCAAGGCTGTAATGTCTCTGCTTATCTGCAACACCTACTATCTAGTTTCCAGAACCATCTCTGGCTCTGGCATGTGTAGTTTCCTCGTATGGTGGTTCAATTGCTTTGTGTGGGTGTGTGCTGGTATTAAGTCTTGAATTCAGGACCTGGAAACTGCCCCCCCTTTTTTTTACTCAAGGCTGGCACTCTACCACTTAAGCCACAACTCTACTTCCAGCTTTTTGGTGGTTAATTAGAGATAAAGAGTCTCATGGAGGGGCTGGAAGGCGGCTCAGTGGTAGAGTGTTTGCCTTGCATGCATGAAGCCCCAGGTTTGATTCCTCAGCACCACATAAACAGAAAAGGCCAGAAGTGGTGCTGTGACTTAAGTGGTAGAGCACTAGCCTTGAGCTGAAGAGCTGAGGGACAGTCCCCAGGCCCAGAGTTCAAGCCCTGCAACCAACACACACACACACACAGAGTCTCAGGGAATTTCCTACCCAGGCTGGCTTCAAACCTTGATCCTCAGATCTCAGCCTCCTGAGTAGCTAGGATTACAGGTGAGAACCACAGATGCCAGGTACAATTAGAATTGCTTGAAGCAGTGGAGGAGCCACTGCCACATGGGATGCAGCTATTGTGAGGGGGGGTTCATTTTAATTTATATTTAAAAGTTGATGCACAGCTAGCAGAGCTACAATCCTTCAGGTAGCATGGACCCAGAGCTCTGTGCCTATGCCCACCAGCCTCACGCAGCTCAAGCCCAGTCCACAGCCCTAGAAGCACCTCATCCAGGTGGAAGGGCTACCTTAACAGCCTCATGATAGATAGATAGAATGTCAGGATGTGTTCATAATAGGCTACAAGTACTCATTCAAATGAACCCTTTCTTCAGGATGTGGTACGAATGCCTCTCCTTAAATGTGGCCTCAACTGTGACTCACTTTGCATGCAGAAGTGGCAATGGGTTCCTAAGAGGCTCTGTTTATCTCTCCTTGCTCCCTCTTCCTTGTTTTCACTCTGGAGGAAGCCATCTATGGAGATACTTATTTTCTCTATGGTTTGACCTATGTGTCCAGGACCTGAGATCTCCTGCCAACAGTCACAAACCTGAGCGATACAGGAAGTGGTCCAGCCCAGCCCTCACAGGACATAGTGACTGCGCTTCATGAGAGACCTGAGACACAAGCAGCCCAGCTTAGCCCCTCTCAAGTTCCTGACCCACAGAACCAAAGGAATGATAAGTATTGCTTTAGATCAATAAATTGTAGGTTAATTTGTCACATAACATAAGCAATGCCCTCTCTTTGGGGCCTCTTAAAGTCTGTCCCTTCTCTTGGAAAGGCGCCCTAATGCTTGGTCTGAGGCCACCACAGTGCCCAAAGGCCAAGACACAAACCACAGACACTGAGCAGGTCTGCCTATGTGCTCACAGGCTGTTTATTATCCAAATAAAAGGAGGAGAGAGGATGAAGAGAAAAACCAGGTGCCCCACAGTGGTGGAGCTGAAGGGAAGTGAACAGAAAGGCTCCTCTTCTTTCTCTTGTCGCTGGCTCAGGGCACTTCAGCTTCAGAGGGGCCTCTGGGGGTGGCTTAGGGGCCAAACCCAGCTGTCAGTTGGGGTCAGGATCCCCATTGAGGCAGGTCCCAGGCTCGGAATGGCTTCTGTGTACACAAAATATCTCTGCAAAAGGCACTGGTGGAGGTGGGCAGCGGGAAGGCCGCCCCATCACAGGCAGGTCCGCAGTGTCCTGGGTCTGGGTCCTGGTCCCTGAGACCAAACCAGCCTCCCTCAGAGGCTGAGTCTCTGAGGCCCCTGCTCCTCTCCTCTCCTTTCCCTCAGCCCAACAGTGAGCAGGCATTTGGCAGTGAGCCAGATCTGGCCTTATGAGGGACAACCCCCTCTTCAGGGTGAGTATATCTGGTGACATCTAGGCCAAGAGCCCCAGGCGAGTGACTTTGGCCGAGAGGAAGGAGTGGATGACGAAGACCATGGTTTTGGGACACGAGTGCAGGTCCAGTTGCTGCAGGATGAATGGAGAGAAGGGTCAGGGGCTCTGTCCAGCCTGGCCTCCAGGACAGTATCCCCCCCCCCACTACTCCCAAGGTACAGAGGCAGCCCATCACTTACAATCTCTCCTTCAGCACCCCCAAAGTCCAGAAAGAGGAGGCTGGTGCCATCATCCGAGGACATCTGCAGCTTCTCAAAGGGTTGTCGGAGCAGCACAGCTCGGGCTGCACCAGGCTCAGCCGCCCATAGTGTGAAACCCTTGTCAATGTGCACAGAGAGGCTGCAGGGACGGCCGTTCCATGTGCAGGCTGCAGGAAGGCACGAGGGCACAGGCACAGCTGGTACCTCACACACTGCCAGCTCCACAGAGCAGGGTTCAACTACCCCAAAGGATGGGAGGCTCACTGCCCTGACACCTGTGCAGCCACCTTCTGTCATTCCCACCTTGAAATACAGAAAGATGGGCCCTCAGAGAACACACAGCTGCTTCTAGTCCCACTAATGGCAGCGCTGTGAGCAGAAGGGGACTACTTAGGTTGATATGGCCCAGGTGTAGCATGCTTATCTAACATGTACAGGCTCTGAATTCCAACCCTAGCACCACAACCATGGGGGCATAAAGTATGTCATGGAGCTGGGCGTCGGTAGCTTGTAATCCTAGGTACTCAGGAGGCTGAGATCTGAGGATCATGGTTCAAAGCCAGCCCAGGCAGGAAAGTCCATGAGACTTCGATCTCCAATAAACCACCAGAAAACCAGAAGTGGCACTATGGTTCAAGTTGTAGAGTACTAGCCTTGAGCTGAAGACCTGAGGGACAGCACCCAGGCCCAGAGTTCAAGCCCCATGACTGAAAAAAAAAAAAAAAGAGCTTACTCCCTAAAGGTATAGAATGATTCACTTAAATTAAAATTTCTTATAAAAAGTAGATAACTTAGACTTGCACAAACATAAAAAAGTAAGCCTGGCATCAGTGGTTCATACCTACAATCCTAGCTATACAAGAGGCTGAGAGCTAAGGATTGTGGTTCAAAGCCAACCCAGGCAAACAAGTCAATAAGTTTCACAAGTCTAGTTAACCAGCAAAAAAAAAAAAAAAAATCTGGAAGGGAGCTGTGGCTTGCATAGTAGAATACTAGCTTTGAGTGGAAAAAGCCAAACAAAAATTCAAGACCTGGGGGAGGGGGCGGGGGGAGGATGGGATGGGAAGGGGAAACAAAGGAGGAGGCTACAATGCTTGATAAGAAGTATACTCATTATCTTGCCCGTGTAATTGTAACCCCTCTGTACAGTATTTTCACAATTAAAAAAAGACAAGAAAAATAAAAAAAAAAAGAATTCAAGACCCTTAGTTTGAGTCCTAGTACTGGCACATGCGCACACACAAAGTGTTCATGAGCCAAGCACTTGTGGCTCATACCTATAATCCTAGCTACTCAGGAGACTGAGATATGAGGATTGCAGTTCAAAGCCAGACTGTGCAGAAAAGTCTGAGACTTTTTCTTTTTGGTAGTCCTGGGCCTTGAACTCGGGGCCTGGGCACTGTCTCTGAGCTTCTTTTGCTCAAGGCTAGCACTCTACTACTTGAGCCACAGCACCACTTCCAGTTTTTTCTGTTTATGTGGTACTGAGAAATCAAACCCAGGGATTCATGCATGCTAGGCACTGAGCCACTGAGGCACATTCCCAGCCCTGTGAGACTCTTAACTCCAATTAATCACCAGAAAACCAGAAGTGGCACTGTGGGTCTAAGTAGTAGAGTGCTAGCCTTGAGCAAAAGCAGCTCAGAGACAGTTCCCAGACCCTGAGTTCAAGCCCCAGGACCAGCAAAAAAAAAAAAAAAAATCACAGTTTATTTGAAGTTGAAATCAAAATCAAACTGAATGTCCTGTATTTTATCTGACCCTATCTACCTCTATTCCCAACAGCCAAACCACAAACACAAAGCAAGAAAGACAGCAGGGAGCAGGCTCACTACCTACCAGGTCCCCTCCCCAAATCCCACTTTGTAACCCCATCAAAAGCTTGAATGTCTCTGGGGATAAGAGGCTCATCACCAGAGTGGCTCCTCGATCTGCCCAGCGCACCTGTAGACACCTCCTGCACACCCTCAGCGGCCCGGTGACAGCCATCCACCAGCTGCCGGGTCCAGGCAGCAAGCTCCTGCGGTGACTCCACAGTGAACAGGTGAGTGTCCACGCCGTGGCGCGTGCCCGTGCGCAGGGCAAAGGAGAGTTCTGCATCATAGGGCACAGAGCCCTTGGAGGGGCCTGAATGGACCAGCCTGGGGGAAGAGGGCAGAGGGCTGAGCCAGAGGCCTTGGGCAGGGATGGGGGGAGCAGTTCCAGGCAGAGTGACTCTTTTACCATCTGACAGGGATAAGACATCTGAGGGGTCACTGAGCAACTTGGCACGAGGCATGTCCCACGACCCTGCCCCCTCTCCGCCTGGATATGCTTCCTGAGTCTCAGTCTGGCTCACCCCTCACTGTCCCCTCCTCGGAGAAGCCCTCTGTGACCTCTCTATCTAAAATAGCCCCCATCCACTAGCCTTCCTCTTCACCATGGCACCTGAAATGCCATGCTATTTACTTGTGTTGGTAGAAATGCTTTTTTCTGCTCTGTTCACCACTGTGTTCACAGTCACTCAAATCATGACACGTGCTGGGAGCTCAAGTCACCTGATTAGGCAGGCGGTCCACGATCCCTCGTGCCAGCAAGCTCCTGCCATCTGGACCAGAGCCCAGCCCAGGAAGGGGAGACCTTGCGGATGAAGGACCCAGGTCCAGCTGGCCTGACCCTCACTTGCTGTGTGGCCTTGGGCAGGCATGGGCTCACTCTGGCCAGCAGACCTCCAAGTGCTGACCCTTAGCTCTCTCTGCTCCTCACTCTACCCACTCTCTCAGTTCCCATGGAAACCACTTTCCAGCTCTGAGCTGCAAACCCACAAGTCCAGAAGCTCCTCCTCCATGCTCCCCAAGTGCCCGACCTCTACTTTGGACTTGACTCAGCACCTCACTCAGCCTCTATCCCACTGCCCCCGCTCCAGATATAAGCTCCAAGCCTCTTGTTCACCGGAGACCACCCTTTCTCCTGCAGCCTTCCCAGCTGGCAAAGCACATAGCCTAGGAGATTTCCCACCACCTGCTCCCCACTGCAAGTGCTGACTTTCTTCTCCATCTGCTGCCTTCACCCACCCCCTCCATCTCTCCCTCCTTCTGCCCACAAGGTCCACGTGGCAGCCACAGGTTTTCTCCTAAAATGCAGCCTGTCACCAGGCTCCCCATCTCAACCCTTCCAATGCTGCTCCAAGTGATAAAAGGAAGCTAGCGTTCCTTCTCCAGATTGTATAGGGACTACAAAGGCCAAACCTGGCCAACTCCATCTTCCTTCTCCCTGTTTCCTATATGGATACACCTGCCTACCCCACATTCATAGTTCTACACCCTTCACACCTCTGAAGATGCTCTTATACCCTTGTCTAAACAACCTATTCCTACTCATCCATCAGAGGACAGATCAAATGCCACCTCCTCTGGGAAGCCTTCCCTGACCAGGCCAGGCAGAATTAGTGAAGTGGATAATATGACTTCATTGTAATGGCTGTCCCTGGATCTGTCTCCCACACAACTGGATTCTACAGTGATGGCAGCAATTGCTGGGGTCAGCTCTGTGTTCCCTCAACCATGCAGTTCAAGGTATAGGTATCAACAAATTGGTGACCAGTAAGACTTCACAAAGCCTTCTGTTCTAAGCCCTCATCTTACAGATGAGAGGACTGAAGCCTAGTGAGGATAGAGATTACTTTAGATCAGTTGGAGGATAAATGGGGGCAGAATAGGGTTGGAGTTCACAGCTTCTCAGGCCCATTTCCCCCAAACTCTTGGGTGTAGCATACCACTCCTGCCCATGGGTACCTGGTAGCGATGAGCGGGGCAGTGCGGACTGGCCGGCTCAGGGCCTCACGGGTCTGGGGTAGAGCACTGTAGAGAAGCAGCTCCTTTTCTGTCAGTAGGGCTAGGGTGGGAGCTGTGCCCCCACCAGGCAACTATAGAAAGAAAAGCAGTAGTGAGAAGGTATATGGAGGGAGAGGTCAGAGGTCAGGGGGACCAGGGTGATGAGGGAGTATCAGGAACAGGGAAGGAAAAAAGGGGGAGGGCTAGGCCCCAGGCCCAGTGGGCACCTGTTCAGTCAGCCAGCCGATCTGCTTAATGTCCTGACTCCCAGCCGTGCCTGTGGCTGCCAGCAATGCCTGCAGCTCGTCCTTGACCCAGGGCACCAGTGTGCCAATCTGGGCTTGGATGGCACTTGCCCATGACCTTGCACTGGCTTCATCCTTGGCCCTCAAGAAGAGGTTATCTTGGCCATCTGCTGCACAGACCTCCAGGTACCTGCAGGCACAATGGGTTAGAGGGAAGGGCTGGCTCTGGGTTATAGATGCCCCACCAGATAATCTGGCCCAAGAAACCTCACCCACCACCAAATGAGAAGAAACCACAGGGGATCCATGAAGATTATCAGGAGCCAGGCTCCAAGCAGAGGACTCCAGCCACAATTGTTCAGTTTTCATGAAATGGAAGGACAAGAGACTGACGTAACACACAAATATATACACAATCAGCTGGGCACCGGTGGCTCACACCTATAATCCTAGCTACTCAGGAGGCTGAGATCTGAGGATCATGGTTCAAGCCCAGGCAGGTAAGTCTATGAGACCCTTGTCTCCAATTAACCACCAGAAAACTGGAAGTGGCATTGTGGCTGAAGAAGTAGCGAGCTTGCCTTGAGCTGAAGAGCTCAGGGACAGCGCCCAGGCCCAGAGTTCAAGCCCCATGACTGACCAAAAAAAAAAAGAATTTCCAGCTTCCCTTGCAGCTATGGATAGCCATGTGAGCCAGTTCTGACCAATGATTCATATATAAAAGTCTCTAGAGAGTCTCTAGATAGACAGATACCTCTGCAGAGATATCTTTCCTAGGTAGGGTATTGAGTCACCAAAGGTTCTGCCTGTACACATCCACTTCTCCAACAAAAAGGGGAAGTTCATTTCTGTTCTGCTTGACCTATTGATTTGATTCAACAACAAAAATGTGAGAGAGCCAGCTGACATAGGACTCAATTATAATCCCAGTTACTCAGGAGGCAAAAGCAGAAGGACTGAGACTTCAAGGCTGATTCAGGCAAAGTTATCAAGACCACCTATCTCAGTCAAGCATGGATAGTTCACACCTGTAATCCAAGCGACTCCAGAGAATGAGGATCAAGGTTCAAAGCTAGCCCTGACAGACAAAATCCCAAGAGAATCTTATCTCCAGTTAACCAGCAAAAACCTAAAACTGAGCCAGGCACTAGTGGCACATGCCTAAAATCCTAGTTACTCAGAAGGCGGAGATCCTGGTTCAAAGCTAACTCAGGCAGAAAGTCTATATGAGATTTTTATTTCCAATTAACTATAAAAAAAAACAGAAGTGGAGTTGTGGCTCAAATGGGAGAGCATTAGCCTTGAGCAAAAATGCTCAGGGACAGCATCCAGGCCCTGAGTTCAAGCCCCAGGACTGACACAACAACAAAGCCAGAAGTGAAGATATGGCTCAGGTGGTAGAGCATCAACACTACCCCATATAAATACATATGAACAAATCTACCCCCATTCCCATGTAAGTATATACAAATACACACTTGTACTTACATGTGATCTATGTGCACACACACTTAGAAACACACACACACTGTGGATAATGTCTGGGATCAGGCTGGGAACCTTAAGGTGTTAGGAATCTCACGAAAGAGCAATTCTGCTCATCTTCACTTAATGAAAAATTGAACTACATGACTTGAGAGTAGGGATAGGAGGAGGGAAAAATGCGGGAGAAGAATGGAAATGATCAAGAGGCATTGTACTCATAACCTGATTTAAGGAATTGTAAACATTTTGTATAACTGCTTAATAATAAAAAGAATTTTAAAGGTACTTTCAATAGAGTAACCATAAATGACCTGTGGATCACCTGTTTTTTTACCTCATGGGGCAGGCAGTGGCAGACAAATCTAAGAGATTTTATCTCCAATAAATCAGAAAAATGCCAAAGTAGAGATATGACTTAAGTGATAGAGCACCAGTCTTGAGTGAAAAAAGCCAAGCAAGAGGTGAAGAACTGAGCTCAAGCCCCAGTTCAGGCACAAAAACAAAAAGACCAACAATCTCAATTCATGGAGAGTCTAGAAGGTCAATGAGAAAGAGAGACTAGGTCAAGAACAGCCAGGTCCTGAACCCAGGACTCCTTCTCAAACCTACTTCTTGCTTAGATGTGAAATGCCCACAGGAAGAAATGAGACACAAAGCACACCAGCACAAAACTTCACTCATGCATCTGTTTAGCCTATTTCTTTTTTTTTTTGGGGGGGGGATCCAGTCGTGGGGCCTGAACTCTGGGCCTGGAGGCTGTCCCTCAGCTCTTCAGCTCAAGACTAGCGCTCTACCACTTGAGCCACAGCGCCACTTCTGGCTTTTTTTCTTTTTGCTTATGTGGTGCTGGGGAATCGAACCCAGGGCCTCAGGCATGCAAGGCAAGCGCTCTATACCACTGAGCCACCTTCCCAACCCTGTTTAGCCTATTTCTTAAGCACTTACTCTGTGCTTATTGTGCTTATTTCTACAACACAGAGGGAACACCAAGGCTCTCATCATGAGTGCTCCCAATCCTAGCCTTACCTGGGCTCTGGGTCATTGGGAGTGCACCTTCTTGAGACATATGCCATCTTCAGGGGCACGTGTTTGGCTTCACTGAGGTTCCGGAGCTGGGAGCCAGGGGAGGATGGCTGCCGCTGAAGGGGTGAGGCAGGAGGTGAGTCCCAAGCAACTGTAGTGCCGCCAGCAGAATTCTTGAAATACGGTGAAACCTCCTTCATGTACTTAACTGGTCAAGAGAAAGGCCAGCAGTTACCTACCAGCAGACATCATTATCATCAGTTTAGAGTCTAAATCATGCCAGATGCTGGTGGCACATGCCTGTAATTCTGGCTATAGGCATGAGATCTGAGGATCACGGTTCGAAGCCAACCCAGGCGGGAAAATCTGTGAGACTCATCTCCAATTAAGCATCAAAATAGCCAGAAGTGGATCTGTGGCTCAAGTGGTAGAGTGCTAGCCTTGAGAGACAGGGAAAAAAACAAAAAACAAGAAAGGGGGAGAGGGAGGTAGGGAGGGAAACGGAGGGAGAGACAGGAAGGAAGGAGGGAAGGAGGGAAGGAAGGAAGGAAGGAAGGAAGGAAGGAAGGAAGGAAGGAAGGAAGGAAGGAAGGTCATGCAAGTTAAAGCTAGCATCCTCCCCCACAAAAAAGAGTCTAAGTCCTGTCCAATATCACTATCTTATTCCAAGCTAAAGTTCCCAGTGGGGTAATGGGGTAGAAAACACTGGATGTCTACCAATATCCATTCACGCAGCTTCTCCCTGGTTTATAGACACATGACCAGCCAAAAGAAAGACCATTTTCCAGGGCCCTTTGCAGCAAGACATGGTAGCGTAACTAAATACTAATGAAGATAAAGGATCTGGACCTTCAGGATGGCTGTTTTTTTGTTTTTTGTTGTTTTGTTTTTTGTTGGTCATGGGGCTTGAACTCTGGGCCTGGGCGCTGTCCCTCAGCTCTTCAGCTAAAGGCAAGCGCTCTACTGCTTGAGCCACAGCGCCACTTCCAGTTTTCTAGTAGTTTATTGGAGATAAGAGTCTCACGGACTTTCCTGCCCGGGCTGTCTTTGAACCTGAGATCCTCAGATCTCAGCCTCCTGTGTAGCTAGGATTACAGGCGTGAGCCACCGGTGCCCTGCTTCTTCTTTCTTTTTTTTTTTTTCCCAGTTGTGGGGCCTGAACTCTGGGCCTGGGCTCAGCTCTTCAGCTCAAGGCTAGCACTCTACCACTTGAGCTACAGTGCCACTTCCGGCTTTTTCTGCTTATCTGGCGCTGAGGAATCGAACCCAGGGCCTCATGCATGCAAGGCAAGCGCTCTACCACTGAGCCACCTTCCCAGCCCCCCTGCTTCTTTTTATGTATTCTTGATACAAATCATTTGTCAACATATTTTCAGCTAAGATGGCCATTTAAAGAAAACAGACAACTGAGGGGAAAGAACACAAAGATGGGAACCAGAACATGAGAATGCTCTGCCACTGTCTTATTGCTTGCCATTACCTCTCCATTTATTAGCATATGAAGTATTATATTCATGTTTATATATACCTTCATCTTTAATATTCCTTAATATTCTTCCATCTTCAGTATTAGGAAACCCCTTACCTGAGTTGAATAGTCTGCTTATGTTTAAGAAGCATTTTAACCTAATATTACCATTTCCTAATTTGGTCTTTTCTCTGGTTTTGTAACTTTCCAAACATGACACTTGTATAAGCTCTTCTTTCTGCCTGCCTTGTGATCAATCATACAGTTTTCTGGTAGCCAATATAAATCAAGGCTGACTGCTAATAAAAGTTTGGTTGGGGTGGGAAGGTGGTTCAGCGATAGAGTGCTTGCATTGCATGCATGAGGCCCTGGGTTCAATTACTCAGCACCACATAAACAGAAAAGGCCGGAAGTGGCACTGGCTCAAATGGTAGAGCGCTAGCCTTGAGCTGAAAAGCTCAGGGACAGCACCTAGGCCTAGAGTTCAAGCCCCACGACTGACAAAAACAAAAACAAAAAACAGTTTGGTCATTCTTGCTAAATGTATGTTTAACTGACAATGACTGAATGTCTGCCAACAGTGTATTTGTTTGTGCCAGTCATGTGGCTGGAATTCATGGTCTGGGTACTGTTCCTCAGCTTTTCTGCTCAAGGCTAGCACTCTACCACTTGAGCCACATCTCTACTTCCTCACCAAGAAGCCTTGAGGAAGGCAGTTCAGGATTGGTTCAGGGGCTAAATAACACTGAATTCTTGACCTTTCTCTTGGTCTTCCCCGTGACCACAGCATGGCTGACACAAACTAACCATTCCTCATGTGACAAAACCCAAAGTAGGAAGAGAAAAGCAGGAAAAGGAGTATCTCTTCCTATCTCCCTCTTTTCAGCAAAGTAAATACATCCATAAAGCTGCAAGTAGACATTTCCTTCCACCTTATTGGCTAGAACTGGCCTATGTGCCCACTGCTAGCACAATCATCACTACAATGGAATAATCATTCATAGAATAGTCATGTGACAGAACAATCACACCTCAGCCTTTGTGACTGCACCTGTTTGTTTGTTTCTTTTTTGTTATTGGTGGTGGTGGTGGTAATAGGGCTTAAACTCTGGGCCTGGACATTGTCCCTGTGCTCTTCAGCTCAAGACTAGCACTCTCTTCTGGTGGTTATTTGGAGGTAAGAGTCTCACAAACTTTCCTGCCAAGGCTGTCTTTGAACCATGATCTTCAGATCTCAGCCTCTTGAGTAGCTAGGATTATAGGCATGAGCCACTGGTGCCCAGCGACTATGCCTGTCTCTACACAATAAAATCATCTTCTATTAGCAAGGAAGAAGGGAAACTGACCCCAACAGTGGCTGTCAACATGCCCTGGCACCAGGACTATTCCCAATTCTGATAGGTGACAGACTCCTCCTCTCTATCCTAACCTATTAGGAAGGCAGTATACATATCTAGGTGGTAAGACTCATCCATCCGATAACATCTCTTTTTCACTAGCCACATTCTACCCCAGCTGCTCTACAGTCAGCCTTGGGTATCCTCCCTTCCTCTGCTCTCAACTGTAATACCTTCTCCCTAGAACATCTCACATTTACAATCAAGGCCCAACCACTATGACCCATCTGGGAGTTCAGCCCAGGAAAGGATTGGGAAGCAGTTCTTGGTTTGCTGGAGACACCCCTCGGGTTGAAAGACCATTCAAAGGTGCATGAGAGAGGCAGTTACAAACCCTACTGAGGTTGGAAAAAAATTATATTGAAAGTAAGGGTGTGTTGTTGTTGTTTTATTTTGTTTGGTTAAATTGGGGTTTGAACTCAGGATCTCAGGCACTTTACAATTTGAACCATTCCACCAGCCCTTGCTTTGTAGTATAAAGAGAACTAAATCTAGTTCTGATGTTTGGGGATCAGTCCTAAAATGGCTCACCACTACTGTAGCAATGATTTACCCCAGGACTCACTACTGGATTATATCTCAAAGGACAATTGACATGAGACACATCACAGCCTATCTGACAGACAAAAACCATCTCCCCACTTTCTCCTGAGCCCTGGAAAGTCAGCTTCTCCCCAACTGAGGGGGAACATCTTGGTCAAAGATAGCCATCATTGCTTCCCTCTTCCTTGTCAATGTGAGAAAGGAGAGATGATACAACTCTGGCCAGTGAAATATAAGAGAAAACACACTGTCTCTTCTCTCCTCTAGCTAGGACAGCCAGGCAGAAGCACTAATGGGACTCATTTCTGTGCCCCCAGAATCCAGCAGGGGTCTCACATGCTATGGGTTTCGCAAATGAACATTTGTCAAGTTTGAAGCCAGAGAAAAGTCTGGAGATTCAGCTCAGCCCAACTGTCCCAGAACTGGGTCCTCCTCCATTCCCACAGCATATGCTATAAATGGACAACACACCAGCTGGTGCCAGAAGCAGGACTTGGATTTCACAAACCAAGTGGCCTCTCCCAGAGTGGGGAGTGGAGGCCTGGGGGCCCTGGAGTGACCATAAATAGCCCAGGTCCAAAGCCTCCTTCCTGCTCTGATTTCTGCCTGAGTCACCTGACCAGGCAGGGTGGGGCTGCCACGAGGCTGTGGCCTCCAGGATTGAGGGCGCCACCATGGCCCATGGCCAGGATTCTTGAGTCTGTAAGAATGGCCTGGAGTTTATTTTCTCCCCAGTTAGGCCCTGGGCCCAGGAACCTGGTAAAGCTCCCATGGATACATGGGTTTCCTTCTTAGGGAAACCAGGCAGATACAAACAGATGTCCCAGTTCCCACAGACTTTAGCTCTGCCAAGGAGGGAAGCCAGAACCCATCCTAGTCCTAGTGACCAAGAAAAGATTCCACTAGAGAGAACAGATCTTCAACAGGCAGCTGTGTGGCGATAGTTCTGATGTTGTTCTTAGCCTGGACAGTCTAAGAGGATGGGTGCAGGATATAGAAACAGACAGGCAAGGATCTGAAACAGGCCTGTCACTGAATTTCTGCTCTTGGCAACTCCTGAGGTCTCTCTGGGCCCTTTTCTTTGCCTATATAAAATGGATCCTGGTATTTTAGTTCTCAAGCAAGGCATTGTGAAGATTCATGTTCAGGCTGCCTACCTGCTTAATCAGGGTAGTCTGGAGAAGGTGTGAGATTCCAACAGGCCTAAAAGGGATGACCTTTAGGACTTGCTGGCCTAGCAAGGCTGGACTAAAAATAGTTTCCATTCCTGGATCCTGCCAGGCCTGGCGCAAGGCTGACCAGCAGAGCCCTGGCTGCCACAGCTTGGGGGGTAACAGCTCCCTTTACCATGCCCATAAGTATTACAGGTGGGTGGGGGGATCTGTTATCAAAAATCTAAAGCCAGCTGAGTGCTGGTGACCCACACCTGTAATCCTAGCTACTGAGGAGACTGAAACCTGAGAATCATGGTTCAAAAACAGCCTAAAAAGTCATCTTGAGACTCTTACCTCAAATTAACCACCAGAAAACCAAAAGTGGCACTGTGGTCAAAGTGGTAGAGTGCTAACCTTGAGCAAAAGAGCTCAGGGCAGCACCCAGGCCCTGAGTTCAAGCCCCATAAATGACAAGAAAAAAAAAAAGAGCAAGAAAGTGGTAGAGTTCTTTGCCTAGCATGAAGTCCTCTGAATCATAAAAATGGTAGAAACAAACATGGAAACTTTCTATAAGGAAGTCTGTAAAAATATCATCAGTGGCTGTCACTGTGAAGTAGGTTTTTGTTTTCACTTTTAACTTTGTTTT